TGGTTAAGTTCAATGTTGAGCTCAAACATGCACATTATGATAATGTCGCAGATTGAAAATTTATATTCAGACATGCAGGGACATGCAGTTCAACAGACTCTGGGAATGTTTTGAAGTGATAAAGTAAAGCTCTGGTTTCATAAAAATCATCATAAATTGTCACTTTTACCATCAGAATCATAGATTTAACGATTTATTTTTAAATCCAGTGCATGATATTTCTTTCTTGGTGTTGACTCTGGCTTCTGGGCTGCACTTTGAGGCTAATGAGTTGGTTGAACTGCTGGTTAGATGTTAGATCACTGTGAAACAGAAGCACAGAAACAGCACACTAGCTCCAAGATTTGGGGGAAAATTACAAGATGAGACCCAACCTGAAAGTTTTATTTTAGTTTACACTACTCTGCTACTACAGACATTAAAATATACATTTGCTACTTACGTTTTTGCCACCATGGATATGAGCCCACATTAGCTAGCAAAGGTGAGCTAACAGTTAGCCAGCTAGGGCGCTAGCTGCTTAGTATTACCTCCTTGATCATAACAGAATACTCGTTAATTTTAATTCCTGCTCAATTTAGAAAGGCCACTACAAGAAAATGTGTTCTCTGTTTGGATTGTCAAAGGGACAGTGAGTCATAGATGTTTCTTTCTGGCTGTCAGAGTTAGTGGGCTAGCCGTAGTGTGCTAGCATAAGCGTGCAAAAATTTTGCATGCTTGCGTTAGCGCGCTAGCCTGCCAACTGTATCCTTAATGTTTTTCCAGGATTGTAGGCCTACCCTGACAAAAAGTATTGCAGAATTAAAGTAAGGCTTATGAGGAACCAAGAACACCTTTATGTGGTGTGTATTAGTAGAGGCCAATAATTAGCCAGCTAGCCTGCTAGCTAGCCATGATGTTGACCAAGGATAGTGGATTACTACAAGATGGCCCACCTACAATATACTCCCATTGTATGAAATGGTATATTTCCGGTCTCCTAAGTAAGCGTTGTCCCCCGTGTCCCAATCAAAGAAGATGGAGAACCGCCAATCAGAGATGAGTATCCCCAACCTCGCTTCTGTCAACATGTGTGTACCCTTACTGGCCGTAAGCTAAATAAATAAATGGCCCGTGAAAAAAAAAATTTTTTCCAGCGGATGTCTTAGTTACAACATGACTGAGCTAACTGGAGTAGTTTCATGTTGTATCCGACAACGGGAGGCTTTTAACAGATGACGTCCTGATGTTAGCTTTGCTGCTGCTGTTAGCTGTCCCTGTCAGCTGCAGCCACTGATGCTTTCTCGAAATCGTGATTTCCCAAAACTGAATAAATACCACACATAGCAACACAAAACTGCTTTGCTAGCTCATTCATGTTGTAACTAAGACATCCGCTGGAAAAAAATATTTTTTTAATCCAGTATCTTTGGTGAAACTGCACTGATTTCAGCACCAGAGAGGAGATGTCTGTTGCCAGATCTCGCGAGAGTGTGTTGTTGAGACAGAGACAGGTCTTGAACAAAGTAAATTTTCTCCTGATTTGTCCGTCTGAAATTTGCCATTTTGGTGTCGGAATGTTCTGAAGATATGTGGCTTGTGATAAATGGGTCCAATATTTGCTTCCGTGACTATGGGGCAAAAGAATCGGCCATAATCTGTAATCACGTTCATTTCTCCCACTGAAGTCAATGGACTCAGGACCTGCTGTTAGTCTCCTAAAGGGGCGTGGTGGTCGCGAACCCCACGTGACACTGATACAGGAAACTGACTCGCAGTGGACCGTCTTGTTTTATCCACCGTCTTTGTTGAGACCACCCCATGAGGATGTTTAACCTCAAGTCATGTTGCTTTATTCTGTTATACTAAAGTAAAACTTTCAAGTTGGGTCCCATGTTGTAATTTTTGCCTTTTTACACAGCAGTTTCGTTTAGCAGTGCACTGGCAGCAGGGCTCTCTTTGATGACATCACACACGCTGATTGGCTGAGACAGTTGTTGTCCAAGGGCTACCATACAAAATGTTCTCAGGACAACAACCACTTGGCAAAATCAGGACATGCTCTCTGCAGGGAGGTGGAAATTTGTCTTTCGCTCACCAGACACAAAAGACAACAATGTAAAAGGCAATTAAGTCAAACAACAGATATTGTTGCTGGGCATCACATTTATTTCAATGTACTGGAAACACTGAAGATTTATATGTATTTATAATTTCCTTGTCATTTCTCACAAAAACAAAAAAGAACCCTAAAATTGAAAACTGAACACCGACCCAAGGATTAAATATCCAAATAGCTGAAAATTCAGGTCAGGCTTTGCACTTGGGTAACTGTTGCATTGTGGGGAGTGTAGAGGAGGTTTGGCTAGGGAATAAAACTCAGTGTCTTGGCTTCTGGTGCATTGATTTTGACCTTTTTTTTGTCTGACACTTTTATACTATGGGATTGTGAAAATGAATTGAAATCATGATAAAATTAAATTAAACTTAATTTGGTCTCCCCTGAGCCTGTGGGGCTAAGGCCGAGTCCATGAACTGTAACATCTGCCCAGGAAACTTTGCTGCATGTTGTTCCCCGTTTCAATCTTTTTGTTTCCCATCATGTTATTTGATAATAACTGCACTTACTGCACATGCCTTTTAAGTATTACCACTTTACGAGGGCATAATTTCCAGTCTCCTCCCCACCCTCACTCCACCAGTTTGATTTAATCACTAAAATCAAACAAGTGTCCAAAGAGAGGACAGATGAGCAGAGTTGATCAAAGTCTTAATACACTCATCTGAGTCGCCTTCAGTTGTTGCCGTAGACTCTCAGTAATTAAGCTCATTAATGGAGGTTGTTGAAGCTGACTGCAGGCGTTTAATCTGTGTTTTTATTTACTGTTTAAATATCCTCCAAAAAAAACTAGAATTCAAATTCAGTAAAATCAGTGTGTTTATTTCTGTTGTGTATTCTTGTTCTGTTTTTTTCGCCCTTTATTATCTATTTTAATTGATTGAAGTAAATGTAGATACCAGGTGCTCTATGCACGGTAACCATGGAAACAGTATCGTGTATCCCTCATCACAGGTCAATTTGTTGACACACTGCAGAGGGGCAAACTCAGTCTTTGATGCCGACCACAGTCCGTTATTATTGATAGCTAAAGTTAGTTAAGTTAGCATAGTTATGACTCCATAGCCGAATGCTCCGTCATGTGAAAACCCTCCAATAATTTAAAACGGTTATATATTTCAGGGGGCATACAGACAGCAAGGATCAGTCTGCCATCCACTGATTTGTAGTGCGTGTCACGTAGAAAACGGTTCAAGATAATACAACTCTGGCAGCGTGCAGGCGTGTGCTTGAGACGAGAACAACCACAACATTTTCACGGGATTACACCTGTCTGCTCGCCTCTCATTGAAAATAAATTACTCCTTGCGTCAATCGCTTCCTGTTTGAAAAGACCTTAATGATTTCACTTCATCATTATTGTCTATCCTGCAATGATACACGTTAACTGTTAGCACATAGCTGTTGGCAGCTGGTGGCAGGAACTTAAAGTTTCCTTATGCCTCTGTGTACACTCGACACAACATGGACGCAGTCGCTCCGCAGTTGCTATGTGCCTATCGTAGTTCTGCGTCCTGTTGGTCTATGTCGCTACGCAATTCCCCGCCAAAGCGCTTGGGGGCGCTGTGTTCTTTTATATACCTACCTAGATTCTGTGACGTCTATGGTCGTTGCTCGTTCATTGTTTGTTTATCTTCTGGCTTTGCTCTAGTCACAGTGACGATAGTGACCGAGAGAGAAAGACTGTTGCTGGTGCTCGAAATGATCAACATTGAGCAACAAATACTCTTATTACAAAATGCGACGACGATGAAGAGAGAGGCGACTGCGCCGATGGTCTGTACGCCCGTTAAATGGCTCGACTTTTGAAAATGGCAGTGTTGTGGTACTGCAGCAGGAAGTGAAACCTTGCGAAATGCCTGAAATGATGTAGTTTGAAGGACCAATCATAGCTCTTGCGGTCTGTTTTTGTTTTTGTTGAGAACTTGAATGAGTACAGTTCAATCAGGAGAGACTTATTTTAGAGTGAACAATAATTAATTACAGAGTGCACGATATGATGAATGAAACAAAGTTCTTTGGCAATTAGACTCCATTGTGACATGTATATTTCGGGGTAGAGATGGCATGGTTAGTTTAGGAATATTCCCCCCGATGGAGTCACTGATGATGAGGTGAAGATAGGGATGGCTAAAGGAGGAGGATGATGGGATGAGGAGCAGGACTGGGCAGTGGATGAGCTGAAGACTGGACATGAATGCGGTGGAGAAGGGTCGCATGTGTTCGTCCTATAAAGACAATTGACAGCAGCAGAGATGAGAACAGTTTGATCATGATATGATTGGTTGAGGGAGATCTAGGAATCTGGTTGGATTAATTTGGGGTGACACCCATAGACGTAGAAACTGAAGAGGAGTCGAGAGAATTGTGAATGAATGAAATGAAAGCGTGAAGAGAGATTTCTTTGTTTCCCTGGCACAACAGGGAGTAAATAACACCAAAAACAAAATAAACAACAGTGCGTCAGTGTATCCCTTATGGAAATTACAAAAAAAACTATTTCATCAAAATGTGTTGTTTGTTTTGTTTTGTTTTTTGCAAGAGTGATAAAACATGAATATAAAAGCAGCATTATTGTGACTTCATTGTGTCCCCTCCACAGTAACCAAACTTGCTACTGTACACACTTGTGAATTTAACACTAATTTTATGCCAAGCTTTTAAGACTCAGAGCTAATCACAGAGCATCTTCATGCAACATAAAACCATAAGCTCTGAAGAGGTGACAGGGTGAACCTGGGATAAGAAATACTTCCATTCTGATCCTATCAAGACACGGACAAGAAAAACTGCTGATAAGTTTTCATTAGCTTCAGTCGCTGGTCGAGCATAAGAAATGTCTTTGCTCTTTATCTCAAACACACAGATTCTGATTGATCCACGCTCTCGCTCTCTGTTGCAGTTTAACTTTGTCGGCAAACTCCTCGGGCCACGCGGGAACTCGTTAAAGAGACTACAGGAGGACACTCTCACAAAGATGTCAATTCTGGGAAAAGGATCCATGAGAGACAAAGAAAAGGTAACACTTCACTCTTATTTCATTTTTTTCATGTTCTCCTTGCTCCTTTCACGCTTTTACCTCCACAGCATTTTATCTTGGTCCGCTGCAGTAACTCTTTCACACAGTTTGAAGTGAGGGAGGGTTGGACCTACCTTTAAACTTAAGAAAGAGAAATTTTTATGGAAGACGTTCGTTGGAAACCCAGCTTAAATTAGGATTTTCTGACAAACTAACTTTGTGCTCTTGTTCCAAAAACTAAACTTTCCAGATGAAACAAACCCACTTTTTTGACCTGACAGACTGTCGACGGTAGCTTCTTCATTTATGAAGTTGAATCATGAAAAGATACTATAGACGTATATTAGATTAATCTACCTCCTATTTTCGCAAAACACATTGTTTGGCCAGTAAGATGTCAGCAAAGAGTGAAAAATGCCAATCACCAATTACTTGAGCAAAAGTTAATGTCTTCAAATGGCTCATTTTGTCCAACCAAGAATCTAAAACTCAGACATATTCAGTTTATTGCAATAAAAAACTAAGATGCAAGAACAATTACATTTGTTAAAGTTATTAAATTGAATTATCATCATTCAGTCATCAAAGTTGCTCTATTTAATTTCCTTCAACTTATAAGATACAAACATCAGGGATGCTGAAAAATTATCAGCTGATCATGGGACATTTTTATTACAATGCATTATTCTGATATTTAAAATTAAACCCGATAAATAGTGCTGATAATACAAAGCCAGGCTGCTTTCATTGACTTGACAAGGGCAGTATCTACACACCTGACACAGTGGGTGGCAGTACGTGTACCTTTAAACTTGGTTTGTGAGCCACTAATAAACAGAGAAGAGGAACAACAACAACTGCAGCACGCTGTCTAGAGGGGGTGCTTTTCTGTCTGAGTTGAAAGTTAATGTGTGAGGTGAATCAGTAGCGCATCGTTATTCTACTTGGTAGCTGCAGGCTAGTTTGTGATGGGACGGTGAAATGTCTATATTTTCTCACTACGTCTCAGCCTTTCTTACCCTCAGTCGTACATAAACTACTGGTTATACACTTATTTTTAAAATATAGAAATGTGAAATAATCGTAATAATCGTTATTGTATTGGTTATCAGCCATGAGAAGCAGGTAATTATCGGTTATTGTTATAGGTTGAAAAAATCCATATCGGTGCATCCCTTACAAACATCATTCAGACTTCTATGCTTTTATTAAATGTATTTTTTACACATATATAATGCCTAAAAATTGGAGTAGTCCAATACTGCTTTTCGAAAAAGTACGCCCCAACTATAGTTTTGTTTTAGATAATTACGAAATCCAACTGTGTGAAAACCTTTAAGTTTGAACTTACACACTAGCAAATGTCCTTATTTAGATATTTTCCTCTTCACTTTAGCCTTCGCTCTGTTTGTCTCATTTGAAATCAGATGTGAGCAGATTGCCGCAGGAACTCTGACTACACTTGAGTGACAGCTCGTGGGTCCCGTACAGTTTTGAAAAACAGCTTTATCTTGAAAACAAATTTCAGAAGTTTATGGAGATGTGAATGATCTCAGGGACCACCAAACACGTCTGACATCTTTCAAAGCCTGCTCTCTCATAGTAAACAAAATATTCACAGTCACATCAAGTGCAGACAGTACACAGACAACACTGTCTACATTTATGGTTTTGTTTTAAGCTCTGTCGCAGGATGAGGAAATGCTTCATCATGATGTGAACATAAATGGAAACTTTAAAAAGGCTGGAATTTCAAACACAATCCAGTTTAACGATTTCTATCATCGTGATCATGTCAGTACACAAAGCGAGGATAGAAATGTCTGTTCAGCAGCAGGATTGATTGCACACTGGCCTGGTTAACAGAGAATAAATCCACATCACTTGACTTGTCTGCATCTTTCCACTCCCTCTGTTTGTCAGAGGTGATTTGTTGGTGGCGGTGATTCTCGCCATCATACAGCACATTCTTTTTGATTACTGCGATCAATAGTCTTTGATAGTTGACTCCTCTCGAGTACCTGAAGAAAAGATCTGTCATGGAGATGTGCTGACCTCGGCAGCCCTTACCTGTCTCCGCAAACCCACTGCGGGATTTATGACTGACAGCTTTCTGTCGGGGACGCTCCGCTCAGCACTGCTTCCTCTTTTTTTTTAGGGGGGAGGAAGAGGGATACACCTTCGCAACAAAACTACCACTTTATCTTCAGCTGGTTGCTGACTTTCTGTTTTCAGCTGCGCAGCATGTGTCATCATAGCTTTCAGCAACTTGAAATTCCTTGTGTAGGTCACGGAGCTGTGCCGCTGCAGAGCAAAAAGAGGGGTAAGCTTTTTTCAAGTTGAAACAAAGCTTTCTTACGGTTACAGTGAGGCACTGTTGCCTTAAGGACACGTTTCTATTTATAATGAAAAGATTTAAACTAGGGCTGAACGATATGAGAAAATAATCTAGTTGCTATTTTTAAGATCAAAATTACGATCACAATTTTGTATTCAATTTTTCTTAAGGTTCCTTATCCTCTGTATTTCAATATACACAAGCATTATATCATTTCATATGACCAACACAACATTAGATACAGTCATCATATACACTGCTCTTCCGTGTCAGCCAGGCCTGCATGTTATGATGAAATTGATGCATGAATTCATAGGAATAGCATCTTTAATGAGCAATGAAACCTTTAATCAGAGTAGAGTATTATAACTTCTAACTTCAAGCCTTGTAAACGTGTAATATAGTCATCATGACTCAATTTGAATAAAATCTATACGAAAAGAAGGACAACAGAACAAGAAAACAGAGCAACAGCAAAAGGAGTCCTATGCAAAATCCAGAGCATATGAATTATCTGCACGACGCTCTCAACATGGAGCAGGCTGAGATGGTGGCTAGCAGCTCAAGGTGCTAACTCCATTAGCACCATTAGCACCAAGGTGATGACAGATGTAACAGAACAGAAGAGGGGCGCTACGCTTTTGTGACGACGTTATCCCTCTATTAACGGTATGAGCACAGTGCAAAGTGACTGCAATTAACTAGCCAGTAGGATACACACATGCACAAACATGCAAGCATGGCAGACAAACCTGGATTATAACACACACACACACACACACACACACACACACACACAGGTAGTTTGAAACCAGGACGCTATTACTCCTTGCTTACTTTTTTGGGGTTGTATGGGGTACCTATCCATGGTCAGTGTTTTAAATATAGTCGATGTCTGTCAACACCTCCCCAGTTTGAGTAGTGGCAGGAGTTGTGACATGGGGCTAAGTAATTTGCTGCTGTGGACAGGGGCAGCAACAACACGTATTTTAACCACCTAAAAACATCTGTTACAGTTTAAGTGTATGCTACATTCAGAGTATTTTAACTGCTTTACCTCTCCGTCAGACAGCCTGTTTCAATAACAGCTTCAGTCCCCTATCTTTGCTCTCTTCAATGCCACCAGACTGACGAAAACTGTAACTTCAGCTCATTGAACGCAGGAGCTGCTGGTCTGCTGCTTCGATCACGTATGTGGCCTTGGTGAATTCAAAATAACCCTTTTAAACACCGAAGTCACTCAATGACACAAACAAAATATCTGATCGAGGACGCGTTAGACCAGCAGCTCTTGTGTTCACCGTTTTCTTTGGGGCAGTTTGCCATTGAACACAGCTTCAGTTTCCCATCAGAAATCACTGTTTATTATAAATACTATGTACACTTAAACTAATCTTGATTTTTTTTAGGTGGTTAAAATAAGTTTAAGAGGCTAACCTCCATCCACGGCAGTACATTGCTTAGCTTCTGTGTTGGACTCAAGTCTGCTTCTCCAAACTGGGGGCGTGCCAACTGACAATTACTGTATGGAATACACTGACCCTGCTTCAGAGATCTGAACTATCCCTTTAATATGGATCTTACTGATTTCCAGTCAGTTCCAGTAACAAATCACATAAGCTAAAGTGCACACTCAGGGTTACTGCGGATCCTTAAAAAGTCTTAGAAGGCATTTATTCGTAAATATAAAGATAAAGCCTTAATTAGTATTAAAATGCCTTAAATCAGAGACTCCACTGTCTACAAGTTAGGTGTCGCTGTTCCCTGGATGACATGGGCTATTAAACTAACATTTTGGGGCATGGCTGAAACTGGTACAAGTCAATGTACGCAAGGCTCAGTGTATTTTATGCAAAAAGGTTTTCAAACTCAAGGCAGTGGAATCCCACATGCTGAGACACCAAACACCAAGAAATCTTGCCAACAAACGGCAGGTATTTCTCAGTCCTATTTGATCCTCGTCTCCGCTACAAGATGATAAACTAATTTTTTACGTTATTGTAAATATTTGTGCAAAATTGCTACTAAACCTAATCAGCTAATCAGTTCTGTTCCTTTCTTCAATTTTGGTGACTGTAAAATTGGTCTTAAATTTTAATCTGAGTGGCATTAAAGTCTTAAAAAGTCCTAAATCTAACTTCCATTAAAGGGATAGTGCACCCACAGATGGAAATTCAGCCATTATCTACTCACCCATATGCTGAGGGAGGCTCAGGTGAAGTTTTAGAGTCCTCACATCCCTTGTGGAGATCCAAGGGGAGAGGAGGTAGCAACACAACTCCACCTAATGGAGGCTGACGGCGCCCCAGATTCAAACATCCTAAAACAGATAATTGAAACCACAAAATATCTCCATACTGCTCGTCTGTAGTGATCCAAGTGTCCTGAAGCCCCGACATAAAAAGAACTTGCGGGCGAGACCAGCGAAAGCACGTGAACACACATGAAGGTGGTGCCCATGTCTCACGGTCTCGCACAAGCGCACATGTGAGCGTGGTGCACAGAGAGGCAGTTAGAGCTGCAGGCTACAGTGAGTCTAAAAACAGAGTTCAAATGACGTTTTTCCAAACAACTTTTTATGTCGGGGCTTCAGGACACTTGGATCACTACAGACGAGCAGTATGGAGATATTTTGTGGTTTCAATTATCTGTTTTAGAACGT